GGCTGAATTAGAAATATTAGAAGTTAAGTATATGTTTTTTATGTTCATTATCGCCTTCATATTCGACTTTTAAAGATACTATTCTCTACTGTCATGATACTCTAACTATAGATTAGGTCTATAATTCTTTATTGTTAAAGAAGAAGATAAAGCATCTTATAGTTGGATCTGAGATTCAGGTTGAGGGTCTGGTTTTTCATGGGAGGAATCAAGATAGGAATTATGGTGAAATATAAGGGACAAATTGAAATCCAGACATACAGATAAGGTATGTCACTTTTGTAAAAAGAAGGGATACATTAGAGCTAATTGCTATAATTTGAAAAAAAATAAATAGAATGGTTGCTGCTACTACAGATAATGGAAAGCAACCTAAAAGTAAATGAGAAGCCTAGGCAAACTGAATGAGAACTTCTTGTAATTTCAAACAACGATTCCAAACCTTGTGAGGATTGGGTTCTTGACTTGACTTGTACGTTTTATATATCCTAACAGAGGATGGTTTACAACATATAAGGGAGTTTTGAGAGGTATTGCGATTATGGAAAACAATGCAAATTGTAAAAGATACGGAATTGGTACAATCAAGATCAGAATGTTTAATAGAGCTATACAATCAAGATCAGAATGTTTAATAGAGCTATCGGACACATACTGATGTAAAGTATGTTCCAAAACTAAAGAGGGAACTCATAACATTGAGTATTCTTGATTCAAATAGAGTAGAGGTACACTGGTGAAGGTAGAGTTTTGAAGGAGAGCAAAGGTGCTGTTGTTGTCATGGAAGGACATAAAAACTCATGCAAGTTTCCACAGTTACAAGAGATACATCGGTTACTACCTCTTTCTTGACAAATGAAGTTAAAAACTTTGGCGTATGTGGCTTGGGCATATAAGTGAGAATGGTATGATAGAATTGAGCATGAGAGGACTGCTTGATGGACAGAGGACTAGTAAATTGAAGTTCTGTGAGCATTGTGTCTTTAGAAAATAGAAAAGGGTCAGATTCAGTAAAGGAAAATACAACACGAAGGGAACACTTGAGGATATCCATTCAAATCTTTGGGATCCGACGAGGTGCCTTTTAAAGGAGGTTCTTATTACTTGTTGATAATGATTGATGATTTCCTAAAAAAATATCGGTATTCCTCTAGAAACTGAATAATGGCATGTTTAATACCTTCAAATAGTGGAAAACAATGATTGAGAAGCTGACTAGAAAATAGATAAAACGTCTAAGCAAAAATAATAGGTTGAAGTTTTATTCAGTTGAATTCAACAGTTTCTGCAAGCAAGAAGAGATCTTATGAAATTTAACTATGCCTGGACCTTTGCAGTAGAATGGTGTAGTGGAACGGATGAACAGAACCTTGATGGAAATAGTTCGTTCTATAATTTCAAATACTAGATTGCCTAAGACTCTTTTGGGCTGAAACTGCAATTATAGCTTGTTTTTTTATTAATCGCTCACTCTTAGCTGCCACTGAGAAAAAGACACCAAAAGATGTATGGTTTAGTAATCCTTCTAATTATTCTGATTTGAAAATATTTGGGCGCCCCACTTATACTTATGTGAATAATGCAAAGTTGGAGTCAATGTCTAAAAGTATATCTTTCTTGGCTATAAATCAGGTATGAAATGATATAAATTATGGTGTCCAGAAATAAGAAATGTGATGGTTAGTAAAGATGTAGTATTTCATAAACTTACAATGGTTCAAAATTTACATCATGGAGATCCTGGTAAAACTGAGCAACATATTCAAAATACTTAGGTGGAGTTGGAAATTAGTTTAGAAGAAAAATTATGAACTTTAGATTAGTTGAGTTTAGAGCTGAATAAGAGTAATACTTTGCCTCCACCACTACCAGCAACTCGGTATTCAATAGCAAATGATAGACCTCACAGAGAGATTAGACCTCTATAGAACCATGGATAGGCTGACTTGGTAGCTTATGCAATGGTTGTGGTTGATAATATCGATTCCACTAAAGAACCTGCTATATATACAGAAGAAGTCAGTTGTAGTAATTCTAACAGGTGATTGATTCTATGCAGGACAAGATAGTCACTTACTAAAACTAGCACATGGGACTTGGTGAATTACCCAAGAAGAAGGTTGTTTGTTGCAAGTGGGTGTTTAAAAGAAAGGAAGACACATTAGGAGTTGAAGAGGCCAGATTGGTAGTTAAGGGTTACACTCGATTCCAGATGTTGACTTTATAGATGCACCAATTGTAAAGTATAGCTCAATTCGAACTTTACTTGGGGTTGTGGCTAAGGATAGCTTGGAACTTGAGTAGATGGATGTCAAGATAGCATTCTTTCATAGAGAACTTGAGGAGAACATTTACATTCAACAACCAAAGAGCTTCATAGTTACTAGAAAATAAAACTATATATGCTTGTTGAAGAAGTCTATGTATAGACTGAAGTAGTTACAGAGATAGTGGTATAAGAGGTTTAAATCATTCATAATTATTCATAATTTCATCAAAAATAGTTATGATAGTTGTGTACATCAGAAAGTGTGATAATGGGTCAGTAACATATCTACTATTTTATGTTGATGACATGTTCATAGTGCCCAAAGATAAAGCTGAGGTCAGAAAGGTAAAAGATCAACTCAATAAAGAGTTTGAGATGAAATATTTGGGTGCAGTAAGGAAGATTCTTGGTATGAAGATCTTAATGGATTGCAAATTGTATTTAAGTCACAAGGGGTACATTAAGAAGGTACTTTACATGTTCAATATGCAAAATGCAAAATGCTGTTGGTACTCTTTTTGCTGCCCAATTTAAATTATCATCTGACTGGCTCCACAGTCAGTTGAAGACATTGATTATATGTCTCGAGTTTTTTATTCAAGTGTAGTTGGATTGCTTATATATGCTATGGTTTGTACATGCCCATAATTGGAACATGCAATCAGTGTAGTTAGTAGATTGGCAAATCCTGGCAAAGAACAGTGGAAAGAAGTGCATGAATATTCATATACTTAAGGGGCTCTACAAATTCTTGTTTACATTCTGGTAGGAATACATATAGATTCATTGGATACGTGGATTCAGATTATGTAGGGGATCTTGATAAGAGAAGATCACTTACAGGATATGTGTTTACCATTGGAACTGTGCTATTAGTTGGAAAGCTAGCTTACAAAATATAGTAGTATTGTCTACAACAGAGGCAGAGTACATGGCTATTATAGAGGCATGTAAGGAGGCTATGTTGTTGAGGGGTTTGGTTGGTGAAATCAATGAAGACTTGTAGATTTTTATAGTTTATTGTGATAGTCAGGGTGCTATCTTTCTAACAAAGAATCGATGTTTCACGAGAGAATGAAGCACATTGATGTGAGGTATCACTTTTTGCGTGAAGTAATTGCTCGTGGTGATATTGCATTAGGCAAAGTTAATACCGAGGAGAATCATGTTGATATGATGACAAACCACTTCTCATTGCTGAGTTTGAGCATTGCTTAAATTTAGTTGACATTTGTCATTGATTTTAGCCCATTGCGGCTTGTATGGAAGAAGTCAAATTATTTATTTGGTGATTTGCTAAAGAACGTGATGTAATTCCTGCAAAGCATAGAGTTGGCGCTCACTTGACGTCAGCCTGCCGCTGGAGCAATGGAGTTGCCCTCCAACTTGGCACTCAAGCAACAATGTCATCTGGCCCAAGTCCGTTTCTCATTTTAAGACATTTTCTGCACTCTAATCCTTTTATAACTCTATGTTTAGGATTTATATATAGCAACCATGACTTGTAAACATAACATACATTAATATAACCTTGAGAAAGCTTTAAATCTTGATTGAGGGCATTGAGATATTGTGTAAACAACATTCATTATTGATTATAATGAAATACCCTTCCTCTGCCCATGATATTTTCACATATTGGATTTTCACGTAAAATCTTGGTGTT